AGTCTCTCTCTGGGGTCCGCGCTTGTAATCACATTGGATTTGAGGTAATATATTCATCAGGGCCATCCTAGTTTACAAAACCTGCAGAGTGGGATAGTGGAGTAACGGGAGACCACGATAAGACGGGCCTGGCACTTAAACACGAATCCCACAAAGACGACATCCACCAATCCAGAGAAGAAATCGACTACAAAACATTACGTTTTGTTTTTTGTATTTAAAAATTTGCCGCAAATAGAAAGATTGCAAAATCATATTCTAAAAACAGGAGGAAGCCTTGGCTCTCCTATGTCTTGTCTGCGATATCACTTCTGTGGAAGCAGACGTTAAAACACCAGGTAGTAGTAGTAGTTTACAAAAGATACCTTTGTGACACTGTCTAATACGCACGGTTTTAAAATAACAATTTAGTCTGGTTTCCATTACAGTAACAGGTTCAGGGATTTCCTATGCACGGGAATGAGTTTAAAGACATGTTACACGTAAGGTGCATCTGACTGTTTTTTCCATTATAAATATACTATGAAATGAAATAAACTTCCATTCATATGTTAAACTAAATGATAATTGTTAGTATTGATAATAAGAGATTCGTGGCATATGGTATAAGCTTTTATTTTAAGTTTCGGGGACTATACTTACGCTTAGCGTATTAATGAAACATTGATAAAGGGGCTATCGCATTTACACTGAATTTATATTTTATAATACGCGAGATAAGTTAAATACTGATTTGTATGACGATGAAACGTGTATGACGATGAAATCTATATAACCATATTCTCTACACACATATATAATTTTATAAGGTATAGTGTAAAATGTATTCTAATTTTAGGAACTAAACATTGATACTTTGAAACCATTGGGAAACATTGTGAGCCATGGCCTTTTAAAACTGAACTTTTGTGCTACAGCAGTTCAAGTCAGTCTTTCTCTGAGGTCGGTTTGTATAAAGTTTTCAGATGCTTTTGCTAAGCTTGAGCGTGCTTGTAAATAAAATGTCATTTTATGTCTTGGAAATTAATAGAACGATCAAATAAAAGATCTGTTCACGAAAGTGAAAATCTATGTCGATAAACAATCATTTCTTGTGTATGTACACATAATATAATATAAACTTTCAATTATGTGTTAAACTGAATGATAATGATTACATAATAAGAGATTACAAAATTTTAATCATGTTTTGGCCACTATATTTACAGTTGGCATATAATTTTAGACTGAACTTTTATAAGTCTATCTTTGAGGTCCGCGTCTGTGATAGTAAACTATTGAACTGCGCCGTTTATTGGAGAAACACTCACCAATCTTATTCTTTATCCGGTCAGTATACGTTATTCAAATATAGGAACTAATATTGATGCTTTGAAAGACATTGGAGAAAATTGTGAGCTATGGCCTTTTAAAACTGAACTTGTGTGCAACGGCAGTTGGAGTCATTCTTCCTCTGAGGTCCGCGCTTTAAGCATGTTTTAAAATACTATATTTATAGAGTTCACATCTATTAGAGATCTAAGTTTAATTAATTTCACGATGTTGTGAAGGATATTTATAATAAGCAAGATAAGTTAAATACTGATTTGTATAACGATGAAACGTGTATGATGATGAAATCTAAATAACCATTTTCTCTACACACATATATAATTTTATAAGATATAGTGTAAACTTTATTCTAATTTTAGGAACTATCATTACGTTTGGCATACATAAACATTGATACTTTGAAACCATTGGGAAACATTGTGAGCCATGGCCTTTTAAAACTAAACTTTTGTGCTACAGCAGTTTGAGTCAGGCTTTCTCTGAGGTCCGCGCTTAAGCGCGATTTAAAATGTCATATTTGTATAAAGTTTTCAGATGCTATTGCTAAGCTTGAGCGTGCTTGTAAATAAAATGTCATTTTATGTCTTGGACACTTATAGAACAATCAAATAAAAGATCTGTTCACGAAAGTGAATATCTATCCCGATAAATTGTCATTTCTTGTGTACGTACACATAATATAATATGTATGTATACGGGAAACGCAGATCATTTAACATACCAAACCTTGAAGACGGAGATCAGTACATTACCGACGGCAAAGAAACGGCAGATCTACTTGCTGAAACATTTGCAGATGCAAGCAGGGATGAAAACCAATCAAGTTTGCTTAAACTGAACACGCACACGTAACTTGAACTGGAAATTCAAATGTAGAACGTCTACGTGTCTGTGGTCACTGTTGCAAGAGCCTTTAATTGTTCACACCAGACAATAATTAATCTTAGAATGAGAGTGCTTCAAACTGGAACTATTGCCGACCGCCCAAGGACGGGGGCGCCACGTGTGACGTCACTCCAGGAAGATCAAGCAATACGATTACGTCATCTTAGAAACAGATTTGTCACTGCAACCTCCACAAGTAGAGAGATGTTTGGTGGAAGGGTAACTGCACAAACTGTTCGAAATGGCTTGCAGGCTGCTGGTCTTCGAGCTCGGAGGCCCTATAATGGACCAATATTGACACCTCTTCATCGCCGTAACCGACTTGTTACACTCAAGTATGCGTCAGAGAAGTTGACCAATTTGGTGGCGGCAGCGTCATGGTTTGGGGTTCTTTTTGTGCACATGGACGTTCTCCTCTTGTTGTTGTCCAAGGGAACTTAAATGCTGTCGAGTACAGGGATCAGATTTTGCAACCTGTTCTTCTTCCGTTTATGCAGAGACATGGGCCTGGACTAACGTTTCAACAAGACAATGCTCGACCCCATACAGCAATTGCTACCCAGAATTTTTTAAGAAATGCCGGTGTCCAAGTCCTGGATTGACCGTCGCTTAGCCCCGACCTTAATCCTATTGAACACATCTGGGACGAACGGGGTCGACGTGTTTGTCAGCAAGTGAATCCACCACTGACGTTGCAGGACCTTAACATGCTCTTGCTGAGCAGTGGCGACGTCTTCCTCGGGTAGTGTTTACTAATGTTCTGAGATCCATGAGAAGACGTTGTGTGGCAGTACGAGACGCTAGAGGAGGCCACAACCGTTACTAAACACTTTATTCCGATTGTTCTCCAAGTCTGTGAATTTTATTTTGGGGGGTACTGTGACATCACGAACGTTATCAATGTCAAGGACTTTCGGCGAGACGTATTCTTGCTTTCTGTTGATGTTAAGGTCCTCTGTGCACAACATAACACTAAAATAGTTGCCTTAAACCAAATATTAAAAATCTAGTCCCAAAAATCCCGAGTGTCAAGTTTTTAATTTGGATGAGTATATTACAACTGTTCAAGAGACCACCGAGATTCTATATTATGTAAAATCAAAAGTTATTTACCGATTGGTCTGAAATTTGATGTGAGTTCATAATTAGTGATCCCGAACACCGTCAGCAAATTTCAAGTCTCTACAATCAAGGGAAGTACAAAGTGTACGAAAGTGCATTAGGAATTAAATATGTGGTCTCATATATTAAAACTGTTCAAAAGACCATCACGGTGCTATATTATGTAAAATCGAAATTTATTGACCGATTCGTCTGAAATTTGATGCGAGTTCATAATTAGTGACCCTGAACACCCTCAGCAAATTCCAAATCTCTACAATCACTGGAAGTACAAAGTGTACGAAAGTGCATTGGAAATTAAATATATGGTCTCATATATTAAAATTGTCCAAGAGACCATCACGGTACTATATTATGTAAGTCTCTACAATCACGAGAAGTACAAGGTGTACGAAAGTGCATTAGAATTTGAATGGATGGTCTCTTATATTAAAACTGTTAAAAGAGACCACCAAGGAGCTATAGTATGGTCTCATGTGTTTTAATTGTTAAAGAGACCATCGAGGTATACGACATGGTCGCATGCATTACAAATAGTATAGAGACCACCAAGGTACGCAAAACTGTTAAAAATAAGTTGTCCAAAATCAAAAGTTATTGACCGATTGTTCTGAAAGATGGTGTGAGTTCATATTTAGTGACCCCGAACACCCTCAGCAAATTTTAAGTGTCTACGATCACGGGAAGTACTAAGTGTACGAAAGTGCATTAGGGAATTAAATGTATGGTCTCATATACTAAAAGTGTTCAAGAGAGCACCAAGGTGCTATATTATGGTCTCATATATTAAAATTGTTAAAGAGGCCATCGAGGTATACGACATGGTCTCATATATAAAAAAAAATGTTAAAGAGACCATCGGATTATGTGACATGGTCTCATCCATTAAAACTGATAAAGAGACCATTAGCATTAGATTAGTCGTATCATACCGTTTTTATGAAAAATAGGGATCGAACCGTCTGATTATCGTGCCAGCGCTTTATCATAGAGCTACCGCGGCTATTTGTATTCGTAAAGAACAGCTGCTTAACAAAATGACGAAAATTGTTATTATTATTATTATTTATGGTCAGTGATGTAAGAAGCGTGCTTGGCGTTCAGCAAGTCATATTAGCGTCTTGGTATTCGCGTCCCAATAGTAAACATTATTGGCTTCCCGAATGGCTGTGTCGTCTGAATGATGGATAATTAAAAGTTGTGTAAAATCAAATGTTTTGACCGATTGGTTTGAAATTTGGTGTGAGATCATAGATAACACCCCGGAACACCCTCAGCAAATTTGAAGTCTCTTGGACCACGGCAAGTACTAGGTGTACGAAAGTGCATTAGCGCCGAAGTGGCCTCTCAGTGTATGGTCATGAAACTTGTCTTTAAAGGGAGAGTTGGCGCATACCCTAAAAAAGTAGTATCTATAAATAGTCATATAGTAACCCATGGGAGGCAGATGGAGTTTAGGTGACATGACTCACCATAAAAACCCATATGCCCTGTATCTATGGAACGGTTAATTTTTTAGATGCGTCATTTCGGCTACAAAATCGACCAAAGTCACGTTATGACTTTCTGTATGGTTTTCTCGTGGACTGACACTTAATAATGATTACGCGGACTTGTATAAACAGAAAATATTACATTATGTAGTCTGGTTAAATATTTACCTGATGTTGACTTATTATCTTCATATCGGCAACCAACTTTTTTAATTCGGCAATTTCATTATCTGGAAGCATATAAAAATGTACATATATATATTCATTCAAAGGTCGTTCGTATTCATTAAACCTAAATGAATTATGAAGAAAACATTCTGAATTTCGATAGCAATATATGGAATGGGTATTAAAACCTCGGCCATTTCAAGTCTAACGTATGGGGAATTTTCATTTCTATGGTTACGTAATTGTAATCAAATTTATTTAACCCCCTAAAGTAGCAAATGTAAATCTTCTAAAAAGACTTACATAACCACTATTTTCATTATACGGCCATGAAAAAATGAATAAATGAAATATGGTGAGACAGGCTAAATTATATCACAAAAAATATTTATATGCATCAATAAAAACAATATAACAGTAGATCAAATTTAAAAAATAAAACACTATTTTATGCAGGAAATATTACATAATGAATGTATAATAAAAACCTGTCTCTTAAGAAATTAAGCTTTTCGCAATACAACCCAGGTTGGGCAAACAAGTGATGTAGTGACTGGCAACGGTAATAAAATGATCTTGCATGCTTGAATTCAATCAAAAAATGTTAGATGACGTAGTGACTTGCAACGGTAATATTTCGATTATATGTACTTGAGATTATTGCACTCAATCAAAATGTGTTTAACTTTCAAAGGAAAATGACATTGTGCACATTCTAGTTGAGTTTCTCGCCTCAGGATGAAAATGTGAGTTAAAAACGAATGGCCAATGCGAGAGAGATACAAAACAACGTCATCCCTCCTGTTGGTTCTATAGGAGTTGGGCCAGTTGCCATCGTGGAACTAGTATATCCTTTTTTATATTGCGTAAGATGGAAATTGGTCTTTGGGGGAGATATAGCTCAGACAAAAGGGGGTTGTATATGCGACTGTCGAATGAAGGAATACCTTCAGGTTAGAGCAGATATATTTTTTCATGATATGGTCTAAATATGGTGTTATATGATACGTGATTTGTTAAAGATGCAATTGTCGTACCATACTGCAGGGCCAGTTTATCACGTCTGTTGTGCAATGAGGGCTCGTGCGCCTCAACGTATAAACTATCCACTGGAGATGTATGTAAAGCTCCTAGACTGATTGTAAGTCCTTGGTTATGTATGGTGCCAAGTTCTTTTGAGATAAGACTCGCGGGCCGACCCAAACATTATACACCGATAATCGAGTTTTGTACAAATTAAATTTCGATATAAACAAGACCGAACAGTCTACTCCCCAGTCAGGGATTTCAGACATTCTTTTTGTGTGTTTTAATGTACTGGCATTACATTTTCTTATTAAAAATCAACCCTAGAAATTTGGTTTCATCCACAACCGGAAGCCGATTGCCACCCAAGAAAAGTTCTGAATCTGGATGCAAACCTCGTTTCTGACAGAAATGCATCCATTTAGATTTTCAAAAACGAAATCCATTTTTAGTTGAAGCAAATTCAAATAAAGCTGCAACTTAGTCTGTAGAACTATAGCACACCCGAAAGTCATTAACACGAAGAGAGCCATTTGTACCTCGTGGGGGTTGGATGTACGAATGGTTAGCGCGTGTGCGCTGTATCATATAAGGTCTGTCATTGAGTCAACTGGCGTGGTTTCGATTCCCCGGTTGTACATGACAAGGAGTAGGGTCATCTGCGAACCTCGTGGGTTTTCCGGTTTCCTCCCACTGCTAAAGATCCCTACGAGCAAGCGAATTATTGAAATAAAATTGCAGCATATGTTAGTCCGAAATGACTTAGTTTGTGTCGGGTGGAGGTTAAACCCCATCTCTCTCTCTCTCTCTCTCTCTCTCTCTCTCTCTCTCTCTTTGTACCAGGTATAATAATAATATTAATGAATACATATATATGACTATATGACATGTATTAACAAATGTACAATATGTACATGCTTATAATATGGAGATATAAATAATACATATACATGTAATAAGAAATATGGGGGGGGGGGGCTTTTTAGGATAATATATTTGGCGTAGATTTAAGGCACAGGATAAGTTTAACCTGAAAACATTCATTATTATTATTATTATTATTATTATTACAGCATATTTATAGTGCAGGGGCACTTTACAAAGTGACAATGTAAATCATACATAAACAACAAGATTATGGACATGTTAACGATTGTTTACAGAGTCAGTTAAACGCCTGATTAAATAAATGTGTTTTAAGTTGTCTTTTAAAAGAATATAGAGATGTACATCTTAAACTAAATGGTAGATTATTAGATTATGCTGTATTCGTTACCGCTTGGAAATATCGTGTTTCCCACTAGGAAATAGTAAATACCACACTTGTCGTGTTCGTGTGCACAAGTGGGAAAATCAACATGGCTGTCATTATCCCTTCAAGGATTCTTAAAACCTTTAACCAACATTTGTAAAATTTAAATCTCTAAAAGGAATATCAGTCCAAAGACGTTTCAGTTCGGTTCAGTATTTACAAAGATATGATAAATTGAAAATTTATTATCCTTCGGCATCTAATGCAAACGACATAAACAAGCCAGTATAACCTTTAAATATTGGTCAATCTTTTGATGGGCCTCTTTTAAATCCAATTAAATTCAAGCTAGAAAATATCTACATATTCCGTTGGTCTATTTTGGTTTAATTTTTTTAATCAAACGTTAAATAATCAATCTAAGAACAATTTATCGTACATTAAGCCGTGAAAAATTAGATAAAGTCTATTTTCGATAAGCTTCACAGTCAATTAGCTTAGCATATGCCTACTGGTAATATCTACGGTATGTAGACATTTTAAATTTCAAAGAAACGTAGTACGTTAATCCCGAAAAGACCTAGTCTGTGCCGATTGGGCGTTAAACCACAGTTACTGAAACTGTTGATATAGACCGTACCGTCCTAAAACCTGAACTGCCGTACGGTACAACAACAAGTTAGTACAAAATGGAAAGCCGGGTATTTTTCTCGTTTTCTGTTTAATGTGTTTCTTGTCGTTGTTCAGAAAATGTATCCCGATATGTAAAATTCTATAAATCACGTATTCAGATCGATATGCACATCCACAACAAACATATAACTACAAAAATAGTAATTTACCGTTCAAAACTTTCAACTTTGTAATTTTGGCTGCCATCTTGTTACGTCATATGTCGTGAACTCCATATAATTTTAGCTACCCCATTTCTGCAGTAGAAATCACGACTTCCGATCCAGTTTTCGTAGTTACGAACGCTATTTACCAATTCGTTCGTCGTATTTTCCATAAAACCGAGGAGTAACGAATACAGCATAATTCCATAAAACAGGAGCTTGATAACTAAAAGATAGCTGACCATAAGAGACTAGTTGAACAGTTTTGGGCTTGAAAAGTAGTTTATCTGATGTACGTAATGTTCGGCCAGGTGTATAAAGTTCTAAAAGATCTGAGAGGTAAACAGGAGCTAAATTATTTAAACATTTAAAAGTAAGTAATAAAATCTTAAAATCAATTCGATATTTAACAGGTAACCAGTGTAATTTATATAAAACAGGAGTTATGTGGTCACATTTCTTAGTTAAAGTAACAAGTCTAGCCGCAGTATTCTGTACTTTTTGTAATTTATCTATAAGCTTTAAAGGTAAACCAACTAAAATTGAATTAAAGTTATCTAATCGAGAAGTGACCAGAGAACTCACAAGTGACTTAGTGGCCTCTACAGTTACACATTTACGTATTTTACCTATATTTATAATATTAAAATAGCACAATTTCCAAATATTATTTACTTGAGCTTCCATAAGCATAAAACTATCAAAGATTGCGCCAATATTACGAGCAGAATAAGATGAAAGTATATCACAATTAACAATTACACCAGGGTGGTTATCATGTGCAGATTTACTTAATTGATGCCTTGAGCCTAATAACAAATATCCGGTTTTATCATCATTCAATTTTAGAAAGTTTTTTGACATCCATTTTCTAATTTTACTAATACAGTTCTCAATTTACAATTTTGATAAATTGAAAGAAGGTGGACAATTAGGTGTAAATGAAATATATAATTGAGTATCATTGGCATACAATTTATTCCACAAATATCAATAGAATTTTCAAAAATATTAAAGTTTTTAAAGGGGCGGCAACAAATTCCATAGTTTGGGTAATTTAAATTCCATACTGCTTTTAACTATATTAATATTTGACATAGTAAGTTTATCGTTAAGATGATTACCGAGATCAAATAAGTAATCAGGGCATTGTTTTAGCCGAATTTTATTGATAAATATACATTGATTAGAGATATGTCGATGTACTATTGTCAGAATTTTCAATTTGTCTAGTCAAGGGTAAACGTTGGCAGTATCTTTTACATCTAAGATTAATTTTAAGGCCAATATTTGCTTTCGAGAAAGGCGGTCAAGAGATTTAGCGTTACAACGATCCCGAACTGAGGAACAATAATCTATATGTGGTTGAAAGTGGGCATTATAGTGGCTAAGTGAGTAAGACGCTGGCTCACTAGCCTGGAGGTCGGGAGTTCGATCCCTGCATTGGCCGAGAAAGTTCATCCAGATTTTCCGGCGTGGTTCCCCCTTGTCAGTGTTGCAGGACGGAGGGCCTGACAAGGACAGCTGTCTAGCCCTTTGTAGCTTCCTTCGAAATATTTTTACGAATACGACTGATGTTTCTGATGTGGAAATAACATGATTTACAAATATTATTAACTTGTTGTTCCATGGACATCTTAAAATCAAATACGACACCTATATTGCGCGCAGAAAGAGAAGGAGACACATTATATTCAGCTATTCTAATTTCCTTATTGAACGAATCATTAAGTTTTGATAGCAGACTATCGGATCCCAAAAGCAGATACTCGGATTTGTCAGCGTTCAGTTTCAGAAAGTTAGTGGACATCCATGTATGAATTTCTCCTATACATAATTCGACCTGGGCCTTGGTAATAGCTGCACCAATTGGCGGTTAAATGATAAGTATAACTGTGTGTCGTCAGCGTAGAGATGGTTTAAAATTACTGCAATATTTTTAAAAACG